CACCGTTTACCCTCCTCTCCCTCTCTCCCCCTCTTCCCCACCTGCGTGTTGATTCCCAAGATTACGGGCCAATCGTCGATTATGCCCGCTCTGGAAGCTCGCAATTTCAATGGCTATTGCCTGCCAACAGGAATATTAATGCGAAATGGATTACCCGACTCTCTCTCTTGTTCCCTTTCCTCCGCCTCGACGTCGTCTATTATTCTCTCTGTCTCTGTCTCTGTCTCTCTCTCTCTCTCTCTCTCTCATTTTTGCCTCCTTCTCGATACGAAGGACATCCGGTTGCAATGTCCACCACGGCATCCTCTTCTGCTACGGTACGCACGAAACGGTGCGGGATGGGATAGAGACGCGATCGAGAAAATATTCAAGATGCGCCAAGACAAACGGCCTAGACAGAGTCGTTGGCCGATCGCCATTCTCGCATGCATAATGTCGGCCACAGGTCGATTTGATGACACACACGTGCTGCTTTTTTGCCCAGCTCGCGCCGGCCCGGGTAGCGCGAATACGAGTGAAGGATGTCGAGGAGATTCACGATCGGTCGGTGCGTGTCACGTCAACGGGGGTTGTCATCGGCGAATATACGCGACCTACATGTGTCGGTGAGATTCCCACACGACGTTCCATGTGATTTAACCATCGTACAGAGTAACTCAAAGTATCTCCGTGGTATTGGTACTCTTTTCGTCGCGAATGTCGCGTCAGCAAGATTCAAATTGATGCAATTTTCGTCGACAAACGACGAGGGCATCTCCCTTATCACGCGGCTTTAATCATCGGCACAGGTACCGATGTGAACCTGGCGAGCAACTTGATGAAAAAAAACATTCGCAATACGGTCCGATTGTACTTCGTTTGTATCTGTTTGTACCACTTTTTGTTTCGTTTGTACCTCGAGGGATAAAAAGATAGGGGGAGGGGAAAAAATAGTCAGCAAGCAAGCGTAAGATATCGCAAAACGGCCAACGCCGTTCGAAAGAGAATCGTTTGTACCTCCCTTCAAATCGTTTCAAACCTCAAAGGAACCGGAAGTACAGAATTTTCAAAAATCATCCGAGAGGTACTTGCGCCAATTTTTGAGATATCGCAAAACGGCCAACGCCATTCGAAAGAGAATCGTTTGTACCGGTTTGTACCTCTCTTCAAATCGTTTGCACCTCAAAGGAACCGGAAGTACAGAATCTTCAAAATATGTCGGAAGGTTACTTCCAGTCCCTTTGAGGTACAAACGATTCTCTTTCGGTTGGCCGTTTTCGGATATCTTATACTTACTTGCTGACTATTTTTCCCCTTCCCCCATCTTTTTATTCTTTAGGGTACAAACGAAGCAAAAAGTGTTACAAACAGGTACAAACGAAATATCTACAATCGAACCGTAATGAGAATTTTTTTTTTTTTTTTATTAAGTCGTTTGCCAGGCTCACATCGGTGGCATAGGTAGATCGCGTAATTCCGCATAGATGACCTGGAAAGCAAGTACTGATCTTTGCGAATTGAGAATTGAGAATTGGAACGTGCTCCAGTCGAACTGGATCATCTATCTGGTAATCGGCTAAAAGAGATGCAACTAGGAGAGCTAGAAGCCTACATTCGCCAGACGTGAGTGAGTACGGCAGGTTCACATAATCTTCCCAAGAGCCGAATCCCCCTCTCATTCCCCTCTGCCCCATAGAGAACACTCTTGAGCAATGCACGCACGGTTTCAAGGCAATAGTGTTTCACCTACGCTCATTTCGTATGCCTTTCTTTTCGCACCGCCGGCGGGATCTTGACGTTCGATTGCGGTAACTTTACGCACGAACAATTGCGCACCGATAATTTTAATTATTTCGCGTATCGACTGTCAAGCGTGTTGTGCCTGCGTGCGGCTCGCTGGCTCTCCCCCCCCCCCCTCTCTCTCTCTCTCTCTCTCTCTCTCTCTCTCTCGATGATCCCAGCATTGTGAATTCGAACGATAACGTGTCTTTGAAGGATTCGTTTGGCTTTGAGAACAGAAACGTTAAGAATCGAAACGTTCGATACGCCTTCTCGCTTGCATTGTTCAACTCTCCTTTTTTTTTTTTTATATATACTATTGAGAAATGGGACACTTTATATTAGCGTGACTTTGTGTCAGACTTTGAAATGTTTCAAAAAGAGCATTCTTTGTAACCGTCTTCTTCTTCTGAATAGTTTGTATCTGTGCGGATTTTCGTCAAGCTATAAGAGACGGGGAATGGGGGGACCCGGCCAGAGATGTGTCTACAATTTCTACGCACTGTATTTAAATCAAAGGAAAGAACGCATTTCACTTGACGCGCGTCATCGTGATAAAATGTTGAATCTCAATGCGTCATTGCACAATGACAACGCGTGTACCGGTCACAGGGCGCGAAAGCTCGTACGCAACTCGACTTTCACTGTAGCCCTTTCACGCCGCGAAGTCACGACCCGGACGGGAGCGCGATTCAAGCGTTTGTCGATGGTATTTTAATAAGCGTTACGTTTAGAGGTCTCCCCGGGTGCCTTTGGTATGCGACGGTGCGACTGGCTAGCCAGCCAGCCGTAATTAACAACCGCAGACGGCTACTGCGACCGCGCAGCGATGGCCGACAGGCGAGAGAGGCTCTTTATACACGCTATAGAATCGTCGGCTCTCAAAGATAGTTAAAGATAGTTATGTTTCATTCATAAGACAGGATCTTGAGTCGCGCACACGACGTCCGCGGAAAGTACGCGCCGAGTGTACGGCCGTCGCGAGCTTTCGTTGTTTTACCCGGTTTTACCGGTACGGCCATGTGACGATTTTTCGCGCGTTCGACAACGCTCGTCAAGGTCGGCCAAACTATGCCGTTTAAACACACATATGCGGGGTGCGGGGATACTTTCGTTGGCAATTGCGCAACTGCATCGCTAATTATCAGCGGTCGCGTGAGCGCGAATGCTTCGTTAACGTGATCGAAAGTGACGCTTTCGTTTTTGTGCGCGCGCTCATTTTCCTCATGCGGGCGGCATGCACGCAATGCGAGTTTTTCGCCTCTCGTCGTCGGTCTTTGTCGAACCAGCCGGTTCTCGCCGGGCCTAAACGTGTTCGTCGTCGTCGTCGTCGTCGTGTTTTTCTTTTCTTTTTCCACGCTCTTTCCGCAGGGAAGGCTCTTTCCCATCGAATTTCCCGACGATCCATTTGTCACACGGATCCCCTCGTTCGCGCTGAATATGTCTCTTAGCCCCTAAGTTCTCGGCTTCTACAAGGATTTGCCTTTGTCTTCATCCGCAACTGCAACGTCGCTCGTGGAAATAAGATTTTGATCGACTCGGAGGAAAAAGTGTCGAATCTGTGGGAATCTCGCATTTACATGGTCCGCCTTACGCGCGAAATCCTATTATAACTTTTTTGTGACTGACCGCAATGCGCGATACCTGTCAATCTGTTTCTCTCGACCTTCTTCAGGTATACGGCACTTCCTTTTGTTCTTCGAATCCTCGTCCCTGTTCTGAGATTGCTACACATTCCGCGCTGAAGAGGGTCGAAACCGAGCACCGTGAGTCGCGTATTTATAGTTTGATGAACGATTTACCTTCGACGCTATTCATTTTGCGACTCGCACACGTTCATCTACGCCTCAGACTCTTATTGACCCTCGGCTTCTCCCCCCCCTCCCTCCCTCCCTCCCTTCCTCCGCTCGCAATTTAAATCCTTTGTGTGCGCCTGAAAAATCCCGAGGAGATTCAAATAGGTTGCCTCTCCGCGCGCGCGCGCGCGCGCGCGCACCGAATCCCACGACAGCGCGGCGTGCCGCGTCGTCGCGTCTCGACGCGGCGTTCGCCATGGCGAAGAAGCAACCTACGGACGCGCCGCGGAAAAGGTCAAGGCACCAGCCTTGATATCGACCCGGTGTCAAGGCCATCGCCGCGCGCTGCAGCGTCTCGCGCAGACAACGTAGACGTGAATTATGAAAAAGGAACACGAAGAAGCGACGTGACTCTCTCGCGAGTCGACAACCCGTTGGGCGAAGTAACGATCGTCGTCGATCACGCTCGCGCGCGATTGCAACCGCCCGGTGCGCGAGCGCGCCTTTTTCATCGAGGAGAGCCGCGTCGACGAAGAGACACCGTGGACGAAACAATGGATCCAACCGGAAAATCGGTTCAACGCACCGTCGCCGTCGGCCGTATATATACGACAAAGAGAGAGAGAGAGAGAGAGAGGAAGAGACGGGGGAAAGAATTCTCTTTTCGCTCGCTCTTCCTCGGGAGAACGTCGGGTTCGCCATTAATGGCGGATTGCGCGTCCACCTTGCAGAGCAAGAAGACGCGCGCTTTCTTCCCTTCCTTCGAGCCATGTTCGAGTAGCCTTGTGTTGTGTCGGTACTTTTCGGGACGGAGGATCGCGTTCGCGAGGAGAACGAAGGAACGCGCACGCACGAGGAGGTCGCCGAGAGAACTTGTTGAACGAGGAGCGCGAGGAGGAGTCTCCTCGTGGCGATCTCGCGGCGACGGAGGAGCAGCGATGGCGCGTTTCTGGCGCATTTTCGCGACTCACTCGCGCGTTTACTTCCGTGTGCAAACATTCGTGTGCTGACACTGACCGACCGAGAGTTGTCCTCGTGGATCAACCGAACACGAGAGACTCGCGAGAGATCTTTTCACCGGCGCGACTGGGGAATTAGCTTAGCGTGAGCTGAAGCGTGAGAAACGCTTCGAACAGACGTGATCAAGTCACGCGCACGCTTGTTACTTGTTGATTACGTAATAATCAATGTCGCACGACCGGCACGTGATATTCGCGCTTTCTCGGAGGAGGAACGTCGGGACTACCCCTTAGCGACAGAGCAGGTGCGAAATGCGCGGCCGTGGACGGGCTTCCATCGGGCCGTTCCATCGGGAGGTATACCACCGCGCCGTCGCGCCGGGAAACCCCTGTGAGCGGAGGAGCGTGGCTGCGTCTTCGCCGCCACCTGGCGCGACACGCAGGTGTCGGCGAGAGCAGCGGAGGGAACGCGTAGAGGCTGACATACCTGTAGCTACGCGGGTCCCCACCTGTTGATACGTCGACGAAGACGGCCGCGGCGGCTCCGGTCGCTTCGTTACGCCGCTACTGTCGCGTACTGGGAAAATAGCCGGTGCTGCGGCTCGATCGCGCGCGCACCTCCTTCGGAGTGTGGTGGCTCCTTCGGAGGAGAACGACGACGACGACGACGACGACGACGACGACGACGACGACGACGATGATGCAAATTTAAAACGCAACAGGTACGACGGAATCAGCACACCCACTGTACATTCACACCACGTTACGGCCACGCCGGGGGGCGCTCTTTTCCAGTACGAGATCACGTGCGAGATAGGGTGGTTCGCTATTCCGGACTTTGTTTTCTCCCCTTGAGTACAATCCTCCGGAGCTGGTGCAGCTTCACCACGTCGTCGGGGTAACACCGCCGGCCGGCTAGGATGATGATAGTCCATGTACGAGCGTCTTTAACGTTTCCTCACGAGCACGGCCCTGCCGACACGGCCCACCGTCATTCTACCAGCGGATTTTCCAACGAAAGACACGATCCGCGATCCACTCGGTGCGAGAGCCACTGCACGACTGTTGCCGAAGTTTGCCGACAACGGGCCCGAGCAGGTCCGCCGACAACAGCCGGATAGTCACGAGAGTGGCCGAGCTTGGCCGATTCGAGTGGATGGAATGCGCGCGGCGGAAACCAGCCGGCATCGGAATCGAGATCGGGCGCTCGGTGCTCGCCGGTTCGAAGGCAATCCAAGGCAAACGACCGCTCTACCCGTTCTTCGTTCCTCCGCGATGTAGAGGCCCCTACGACTGCTATAATCTATGTCTATTATCCCTCTTCTCCGTTCTTTCGGTCCGTGCGCGCGCGCGCGCACGCGCGCGCGTCTCGCTCGCTCCTCGATCGCGCGTTATCTTCGCGATACGCGGCGCGCTAAATCCGCGCCGATTTGAAATTGCCGGGCCTTAATCAAACGTCGTTTTTAGGTCGACCCGTTTTCGCGAAGTTGCCGAGCGAACAAAAGTTCGATCAGCGGAGATGAACGCGTGATGCTCTCTTCTTCTTCTTCTTTTTCTTCTCTTCCTTCTTCTTCTTCTTCTTCTTCTTCTTCTTCTTCTTCTTTTGCTTCTTCTTCTTTAGCATTTTTAACAATTTAGCGGACGACGTGTGGACGATAAGGTTGTCGCGTTTGAATTTAATTGGGAGAAACGTTTCCTCAACGGAAACCAATTTGTACGAATCAATATTTGTCAATCAACGTTACGAGTGCGGTGGGATGAAAAAATAATTTTTTTTTTCACGCAAGCTACTCGTGTGCAGGTTTCGCAAGAAAAGTTTCGACTCTGACATACCGCGCGTAAAAGTAAGACGATACTTTTTTTTTTTCACAGGATTACAATCAATCAGGCAACGGCGTCTAGAGAAAGAGATAAAGCGCCGTCTTGAGTGATTTACAACGGTTAGCAAGCATTCCGATGTCCCGGGCATGTAATTAAACCGTCGTCGAAGCGTTTCGCAATATTAAAATCAAACGCGCGGCCATGAGTCATTTTCTCGGGATAGAATCGCGGAGAGAGAGTAATGTCCCGGCGGAATTTTCGGCGTGAGCGCATAAGTCATCGCACGAATATGATAAATTCGATTCGCGCGACTGACAAGAGCCCGTCGCTTTCCCGCGTCGTAGCCCCGCAAACGGGTCCAATAATGGAATATTAATGAGCGGCTTCCAAATTTGATTTGTCACGATCGCCCGGGCGCGGTGATCAATCGGAACTTTTATTTAATTACGTGCTCTCTTCTCCGGCCACGTGAAAAGTCTCCGAAATTTTCCAAGTTTATCGACACGCCCGGCAGCAAGGAGATTACAACATTATGTTTATAACGATAACGGATAATCGTTCCGCGACAGAAATTTATGGATGCTTATCTACTGCCGTAGTGCAGCCGACTCGACAAAAACGATCCCCGGCGGTTACCTTCACCCGGCGCGAGCGCGCTGCGCGCACCCACGCAGATATCGCCTCGTAAAATCCTACTAAAATACCATATTGGTTTACACTTATTACACGCTCGCGAGTACTTACATAATTCCACATTTATGCGTAACGCTGAAACGCGTCGCGTCGCGTCGTTCCGTGCCGGGATAAGCGTCCACGCACGGCGGCACTTACTTGCGCAACTCGGCGCATGCACGAGGTGCGATCACAATAGCGTTATTTACAATCGCATATCGGGAATAATTCTCGCGAGCCGCTTAAAGTATCGGTTAACGCGCCTCGACGCGCTCTCTCTCTCTCTCTCTCCCTCTCTCTCTCCCTCTCTCTCTCTCTCTCTCTCTCTCTCTCTCTCAGGCGGACGCAATATCGAGGGTGGACGCGCCAAAAGGAGGATGAAAAAGAACAGAAAAGGGGGAAGAGAAAAACGAGAGAAGTCGTACGGCGTCCAACGGGTAGCACGAGCGCGTGCGCGCGTGCAAAGTCGCGACAATATCCCCGAGGAAATTCTCGGTCGTCGAGGCACTCAAGGCGCCCAGCTATTTTCTTGCTCTTGTTCGCGTTGCCAGTTCGAAAGAAACGAGATGTTGCCTCGTAAGTTAGATCGTACGGCCACGAATGCGCACATACCAGCATTGGTGTGCACCGCGCGCGAGCCGGGCTGCACCGCGCTGTGCACGTCTTGCGAGAGAGCCGACCATCTGCCGGCTGTGGCCAAGGACGTCGAGTCCTTCGATGCTGTTGACCCGAGGTCGATTCAATTATCGGCACAATTAAAACATTCCCGAATGTTTGATAACACACGCGCCGGCGAGCGCCGATGTCCGGGTCGTGCTGTGCAGCGCGCGCGCGGGGCTGTTAAAACTGCCATTGTTTCGTGCCGTGAAAGGGATTCAGCGCGGATAGCTGTTCCTTGCGAGTACGTGTCGCGAATCGTACGAGGGCAGTCTGAAAAGTTCTCGGCCTAAACTCGGATGAAAGAACATTCTTTTTTTCCGTGAGATATGTTTTATTTTTCAATATAATCTCCTGAAACTTCAATACATTTATTCCAACGTCTTTCCAATAATTCAATACCATCATTAAAGTGTGATTCCGGAAAGTTCTTCTTTTCGCTCCTGGTGTATAGTGGTGGATTCAAGTTTCATCAACAGTTATGAAGCGACGCTTGAAATCCATTTTATTTTGCTTAAAACGATAAAAATGTGCCAAACACGCTTGAGAAATACGCGCATTCGAATTACGCGTTTTTCGTCAATTGTTAGCAAATGCTTGCACAAAGCTTTTTCAACCGGTGCTACACTACTCGAAAGACGTGACAGATCGAATAAAATTTTACCAATACAATTATAGTTTGACAGTTTCTAATGCCATGTATGTGTCAGGTCGAGAACTTTTCAGACTGCCTACGTATATATATATATATATATATCACGGGTGCGTGTATGTACAAAAAGATATATATATATATGTGTGTGTGTGTGTGTGTGTGTGTACATTTATTTATTTATTTGCGCACATATGTACTGTACACCGCGGCGCGTCCCGCAGGCTTCGTGTATCGACCTAAATGTTACTCCGATATACGTCCAACGAACGTACCGGTGACCGCGGTCGCTCGAATGCCGACGTGTTCCAATTAGAGGCTCAACAGCGAAGAGAACGACGAGGACGACGACGACGACATGGTTTCCTCGTTAATCACGATGATTACGCCATTTTCGTGCGCGCAATCAGCCCCGAAAGAAACCGTTGTGTCGCGGTAACTGGTTTAAGGTTTAAGGAAGGGCAGAGATCTCGCGCTCTCGACCTTCTTCGTCTTCAGCAGTCGCCGGGGGGGGGGGGACTTTTCGTAAAATCAGTTCCGTTCGACGCGCTGAGCGCGCTGAGCGCGCTGATCTAGTTTCGCGGGGTGATTAAAATAGATAACAATCGCAGATTTTCCTGCTGCATATCGAGCGAAATTGAAAGCGAAATCCACGGAGACAAGAGGACGGAAAGAAACGCAGAGAGGATTGCGCGAATCCCGCGCGAGCACGCGAGCGCGTGCTTGTGATTAAAGCCGATCGCGTAAATTTCGTCGCAATCGGTTGAACGTTGTCGAGGTGAGACCGATTGCGATCTTCTCCAAAAGTGCGGACAGCTTTGGCGAAGAGAGGGTGGCGAGGCGGCGGGGGTGAGGGAAGCCACGCGCGATACGGAGCACGTGTAGACCGAGAGAGAGAGAGAGAGAGTCACTGATTACGAGAGACACGCAACAATCGCCGCAATTGACCGCGTAATAGAAACGCGTTATGCAGGCCACGGCAGGGGCCGGTAGAATACCGGTCGACCTTGAGAATGAACATGATTCCTTTACGTACGTTTTCCCTTTTACGGAAGAGTTCCGCGTTCGCGTAATTGCCGCGTTACGCTCGATCTTTTGCAAAATTCGCCCTCGACAGAGAAAGGCGGGCACCGAAGGGACCGGTTCGTCGGCGCAGCCACTCCACCGACTCCTCGCGGACCTCATCAGCCGAGTCGCTCATTCGTCGTTTGTCCTTTTGTAATATCGATTTGTAACGAGCGTCGAGCGTCACGTGAGAGTGTCACGTGCAGACCGAGCGACGAATTAATGCAGAAACTCGCGAGCAGATTGGACCGCTGCATTCTCGTTTCGGTCTCGTTTCGCGCTCCGCGTTTCCTCGTCCGCGATCATGCACGACCCGAATTCCAGACGACACATCTCGATCATCTCGAGTGTCTCTCGCTCGCCAGGGCGAGCTCGAATTATAACACGGCACGACTGCGAAATGCATCGACGCCGCGAAGTCGGCATTAATGCGGAAAAATCCGCTCGTGTGATTCGATCCGGGCCGAGCGAGGCACATCGTGAGATCGATCGACCCGGAGGAACGGAGCGGAGCAGGGCGAGGCCACGTGAGAGAGAGAGAGAGAGAGAGACTAGGCCAGAAGCGCGACGCTGGATCCATCGCTGGATTAGATGGCTGAAATGTTTTTATGGTAAACAGATGAAAGTCCACACCGTATAGTTGAGCCGTGCAACAACAACGAGCGGGATGTATGCAAAGCAAATGTAAATGCGTCCGATCTGCATAATTTGCCAGGAGATTTCTCTTTGTTTCGCGTGCTTTTGCCGCGGACCAGCCACCCGGCTTACGCGATATACCGATCAAAGTGTCATTATTTATCACCGGAGGTGCTGAACCTCGACACGTAGGCGCCTCTAAAAACGCGAAAAGCCGGCGATGGGGGGAACCAACAGCCCGCGAGTGACACGAGAATTCGTATACACTGCAAATCCGAGTGTGTTATTTTGACACGTATTAGCTGAAGCTTTCTTCGTTAAGTATAAGCGCGTTTCTTGTCGTTTGAAATCGCGTCGTTTGATGCATTTCGATATCACTTAACGCGCCTTTAAACGCGCCTTTAAACGCGCCTTTAAACGACGTGATTTAAGATGACAAGATACGCGTAAAGGAAGCTTCAGTTTACACGCGTCAAAATAACACACCCGGGTTTGCAGTGTACGCTCAGCGCCTCGAGTCTCCTCGGGAAGGTTGCGGAATTTCCCGCAAGACGCAGCTAGGGTATGGCCGA